ATGATTCTCTGATTCAAAAGGACTAATACCATTCCATTTCTGTTCACCAATGCCAGGCATTAGTGATCTTTATGTGTTTCACCTTTGGCAGGCCCAAATTATTCTAGATCCATATTTTGTTAATTCCATTTTCAAAGTATTAATACATGTTTGTAGTGGTTTCTTTGTAGTTTGAAATGTGGCCATATCAGCAAATCAAAGCTGGAAAATACTGCTTTACCGATATCTTTAATGTCAAGGCGACTTTTCTGGTCCTATTGTGAGTGCCTTCCACCCTGAAGGACTCAAATTCTGGCATTGTGCAAAAAACATCATTCTGATGTAATGCATAAGGTTTTCAGTGGCTGATTTTTCAGAAGTGAACTGGCTTTTCCTTCTTAGTCTAAAAGCTCTGCTGAAATCTGTTCACCATGTATCATCCTGCTGATGTTCGAAATATTGTTGGTAGAGTTTCCAGTATCTCAGCATCATGCACACCAGCACAGTATGACAAAGGTGAGTAGTCATCGAGCAATGGGTAATGCTGGATTAAGCAAAGTCAAGTAGGTGCATTTTTTCTATTGGCAGGGCCTTGAAAGTATTTAATATACTTTGGGTATTTAATATGCATTGGAATTATCCCAAAATGACATCCTGAGTAGCACTTCCTTTTCCTTATTCTAGGCTCCATACTCTGTTAAAAGATCAAGAATCTCTTAATAATAATTTCTTAAATATAAAAAAATCATTTCATTACCAGCACCAATTGCTATTGGTTGACTTTGACTTTTGGTGTCTCCATGTGTGAGAGTGTAACTGTGCTCCATAGGGTTTCTCAGAAGTAGATCACCAGGTATGTCGTCTGAGGGTAGACTCAAGCCTCAGGGTTCCCAACTTGGTTATTTAGACAAAACTACTTGTGTTATGCTGGGGTCTCTAGAGAAACAAAACCAGTGGCTTTTGCATATGTTGCATGTAGGAAAAGATTTCTATCAAGAAAACTGCCACAGAAACTGTTCTGATGTTGAACACAGCTTATAAGGACAGGGCTATGGGAAAACTCAACTGTATGAGTCGTTTTCTCATTTAAGAAAGGTGGAATGTCAATTGATGACAAACCTTGTTCTGGATGTCAACTTCCTGAACAGATGAAAATGTTGACAAAATTTGTGCAGTTGTGCTCCAAGACCAACAAGGGACCACTGAAGAGATAGGGAAGTTATCTGGACTATCGTGGAGCTTGGTTCAGCTAATTTTAACAGAAGATTTAGAATAAAAAGGGTTGCTGCGAAATTGTTGCTTCAGGTTCTAACTAACCAGGAAAAGAGCATAGACTGGAACCATGCTATGCTTTGAAAGAACAGCTCCAAAGCAACCCAGGCTTTTTTCTAAGGTCATTACTGGTGAGGAGACATGATGCTGTTCTGATGACCCTAAAGCAAACATCATTCAAGCCAGCGGAAGACACCATGGTCACCAGAAAAAAGCTCGGCAAGTGACATCAAATATCAAGAAGATGCCCATTTCTTTTAGTGATGTGAGGGGCATAGTGCATTTGGAGTTTGTTCCAACAGGTCAGACTATTAATCAAGTTTTTTATTTAGAGGTTCTGAAAAGATTGCATAACAGTGTGTGACAAAAAAGGCCTGATTTGTGGCAGGCAGGGACTGGTTTTGCCACCATGACAATTCACCTGCTCACATAGCCATCTCAGTGTGCCAGTTTTTGGCAAAAAACAGCACACCTCCCTTGCCCTGTGCACATTACTCACCTGACCTGGATCCATGGGACTTCTTTTTGTTTCCATGAATGTAGAGGGACATGAAAGGACAGCGATTTGACAATGTAGACGAGGTGAAGAAAAAAACGAGGAAGGTGTTGTCAGCCATCCAAGCACATAAGTTTGAAAAAGGTTTTCAAGAATGGAATCTCATATTTGACATATGTATTAAGTGTAATGGAGAGTAATTTGAAGGTGATACGGTTGTTTTATAAAAGAAAATGTAAAAAAATAGCTTTGAAAAAATATTGTGTGGAGTTTTGTGTTTTTTGGGTCCTTTTTTTTTTTTTTTTAGTACCCTCTCATATATATCTCAGTACCACATATAGGGCATAGTTCCATTTAATTGTTTATACCTTTGGATGGATTGAATATTATTACAGGTGCTTAGAATATGCTGTTGTGCTGAGGAACGTTAAAAAATAATAAAGAATGTAAATTTGTGATATCCATATTAGGTAGCGAGCTACCCAGCCATCCACCTTATAGAGAATCCTGAATACAAGTACCATTTTCAAAATCAGTTCTCAGAACTCAGCAAAAAATTAAGTATCAGTTCTGTTGAACTGACAAGAATCGGCTGTATCCTACCAGTGATATGCTACCCTAAAGGTGTGTCTTCAAATAGGCTACCATAGGAGATGGGAGAAGATGGCATCTAGTTAGATTCACCCACCTGGAGCTCCTGCTGCCAGACCAGAAAATTGGGAGGTAAGGTGAAGGAGACTGGGAGGAGGAGTCCTGAAATTAGAACCAGTGTACTGCGGTCTGTCCTGAACTCCGCTTTTTAAAAATTTCCACTCACAAAGCAAACTGAAAATGCACTAAATCACTCTAAGTTTGGTGTGCTGGGCTCGTGAGCTCTGGCTGAGCAGCTACCAGTGCCCTACTTTGGCAGTGAGTAGCAATTTCCTCAGGCTGATGCCCCAAAGAGGACATAATCCCAGACATGAAGTGAACCTCTGAAAGCTAATCATAGGGCCCCACACCAGAGCTCCCCACGCTGTTAGCTGCCTTGAGCCCAGAGCCTGGGTCTGTGGGTAGTAACAGATTTGGAGTAATTGAAAAGACCTAAGGAAATGATCTGAGTCAGGTCACAGTGTGGCAGAAAATAAGGAGATAGTCATAGTCCAGGGGGCAAATTCAGTTCCAGTTGGCCGAAAAGAAAACACCCGCTCTGATAAGCTGGATCTCCCCCTCTGGAGGTCAGCATGACAGCCCCCAAATCAGGGAGCCCTATAAACCCAATATAAAAAAGAGAGAAAAAATATTTTCACAGTAAAAACCACAAATCCCAGGCTCATTGTTTAACTCCAAGACAACTGGTAGAACAAGTCCTTTAACATACATTAGTATAGTAAAGGAGCCTGTGCTAAGGAATGCCAGAAGTTAGCTACAGAGCCAAGAGGCTATCAACAAAACAAAGACCCCTTAAAGCAAGCCTCAGTTTCAGAATAACTTAATTCAATTCCAGCTGGTGGTGGGGGTGGGTGGGTAGGGGGACAAAATACCTCTGGGTTATTAGGGCATCAGTGGTCCTGGGATAAGCTAGGACAACACGCTCAGAAGGGGGCGCTACTGTCCACTTTCAGTGATCCTCTACACAACTGAGGAGGCCCTGCCTGTTCTGGGCCCATACATGGGGCTGAGGGAACATACCCCCCACCTCTGCTGCTATGCTGCATACAGCACAAGGCAACTATTCCAGTGATCTTCATTGCTCAATGCTGCTGCGGGAACCACTGCCTGGCCTCTGCAGCGATCTTGCCTTCTAGGGTAATTCCCCCCAGCATCTGAGGATCCTATACCAAGTGGGAACACCACTCCGCTACCTTGAGGCAGGGTTGGAACACCTCCAGCCCCACGGTCAGGTGATCAAGCCTCAGTTATCTCCTTACTTACTACTCTTTATCTTCTTTCCCTTCTATCTTTCCCACCATAGTCGGTTTCAATGGGCCCAGTTTTTTTTGTTTTTATTCTCTTTTTTGTTCTTTTCTTCTTCTTTTTCTCTCTTTTGTCTCTTCTCTCCCTCTCTTTCCTTTCATATGCCACTTCTGGCTTCCAGGGCACTACCCTCCTTCTAGGGCAACTCAACCCAAAGAGCAGGGGAAACTCCAGCCTGTCCTCTGTGGGAGCACTGCACACCACACAAGGCAGCTGTGACAGCCCTCTACAGTGCTCCACACTGCTGAGGAAACCTCAGTCTGGCTTCTATGGTGATCTTGTCAACTAGGGAAATTCTGCCCAGCACCGGTGGGACCCTGCACTAAAAGGGTACACTTGTTGGCTTTACACCCAGCTGGAGAAATCAAGCCCGTCTCCCACCATACCCAAGTGGCTGAGGGATGTCCCCTTCAAACAGAAGGGGAACTCCAGCCTATACCCCAAGCCTCTACAAGTGACTGGGGGAACTCCTGCTCACCATCTGTTGTGCTCCACACCGTTGCAGAAATATCCACCCAACGTCTCTGGTGATCTTTCTGACTAGGGTAATTCTGCCTGCCATCTAAGGTGCTCTACACCAAGTAGGGAACACAACATGCCTTCCTCGGCACTCCAGTTGCAGAGGGAAACACACACACCACTCGAGGTGCTCCAAGCACCATGAGACACACCATTAAGGCTTACTGAGAGATCAGTCAGTGAAACACCACCCTTGTGGGCCCACAACAATCCGGCCAGTGTCCGTGAGAGGACTATCCAACTCACAGTCCAAATAACCGAGTAATGGCCAACTAGGGTAAGACTGAAGTTACAGAAGATACAGCAGTAGCCTGAGCCCCTAGTGCAACTACCTGCAGATATATCAAAGAAGCACTAACACAAGTCACCCAAGAGAGAGCTCAGTGTTCTTAAACTCTTGGAAGATGATGCCGGGCTCCTCTAAAACAACACATAGACAACAACCAGCCCCAGCAACCTCAACAAAAAAGCAGGAGAAACAAAAGACAATGTTGGAAGAAGTCATGAACCTAATGACGTGCATAGAAGAAGCAGACATTGACCTGCCACAGAAAGAAATTTTCAGAATTCTGCTTGGATTCATACAAGATATAAGAGAAACAATACAGGAAAAGGATGAAATGGTAGAGGAGATAAAGGCAACACTCCAAAAGGCAAACCTAACCAAATAAAGGAAGGAACCAATTTCAATAGCAAGGATGAGGGATGAGACAGGGGACATTACAATGGATCCTATTGAAATCAAAAGGATAATTACACAGTAATATGAAGAAGGACATGGCAAGCCTCCAGCATGCCTGAGTCTGAAGTGACCCTGTATTTCCTTCAGTGCTTGCAAGAAAAGTGTTGAAATAGTTTGAGGACTTGCTCTGGACCATCTCCAGAGTGAGGTTATGGACATTTCTTACAGAGGAAGGAAAAAAAATATGAAGAAGGACAAAGAGGGAGGGCTTGTTCTCCCTGACTTTAGCACATATTATATGGCCACAGTGGTCAAAACAGTGTGGTACTGGTATAACAACAGATATTTAGACCAATGGAATATAGCTGAAGACCCAGAATTAAAAACATCAGCATACAGACAACTGTTTTTTGATAAGGGCCCCAAAAATATCAAATGGGAAGCAGATGCCCTCTTCAATAAGTGGGGCTGGAAAAAAAAAAGGATATCTACCTGCAGAAATATGAAGCAAGACCCTTACCTCACTCCATGCACAAGAATAAACTCAAGGTGGATCACAGACCTTGAAGTAAAACCACAAACTATTAAGGCCATTAATGAGGGAATGGGGACAAACCTGAGAACCTTGGCACAGGGAATCCATAGGCTATCGGAAATAAGGAAGGATACAAATACAGGGGAATCACAAAATGACAAATGGGATATACTAAAGATAAATCATCTGTGTACATTTAAAGAATTCACCACAAGAGTAATAAGAGAGCCCACAGACTGGGAAAACATCTTTCGCAGTACATATCAGACAAAGGCCTTTTTACTAAAATCTACTTTGCAAGCTTACAATAAGAAGAAAACTAACTGCCCATTGAGGAGGTGGGAAAAGGACTTGAATAGAAGTTTCACAGGGGCAGAAATCTGAATGGCCAATAAACATATGAAAAAATGTTCCCAATCATCAGCCATAAGAGAAATGCAAATTAAAATAACTATGAGATACCACCTAACACCCTCAAAGATAACCCAATTCAAAAAATCAGAAAGTAACAAGTGTTGGAGGGACTGTGGGGAGATAGGAACGCTCGTCCACTGCTGGTGGGCCTGTATGTATGTACAGCCATTATGGAAATCGATTTGGCAATCTCTAAAACAGATTGAGATTGAGCTACCATACGACCCAACAATCCCGTACTGCACATATTCACAGAAGAGGCAAGAAACAAACCATGGCCAGACATCTGTGCTCCAATCGCGGCACAGTTCACAATTGCAAGGAGTTGGAAAAAAGCCAAATTTCCAACAGCAGACAAATGGATCAAAAAACTGTGGTACATACATACAATGGAGTACTATGCATCCCTAAAATGCAGCATGAAGCACATTGCCCATGGGAAGAACTGGAGTAAATCATGCTAAGTGAAGTAACTCAAGCCCAAAAGGGCAAGAACAACATGAGTCCACTGAGTTAAGTTTAAAGAAAAAAGTGGGGCATAGGGGAAAAGCTACTATATGCATACATCCTTGGGGTGAGGTCCAGCAACTATGGCAAGGGCCAAACCCAATCCAGGGATACATATGGCAGCCAACTAAATAAGAAGGGGAAATAAAGAGAAGTAAAAAGTCATGTGTAGGTGGGGAGCAGGGCACTAATCCACCCAAGGGGAGGGTATTCCTTATATCTCCACAGGAGAGGGAGAGAGAGACCAGGCTTCAGCCCAAATGTGCCAAGACATGAATACAACATACCAGCATGTACCAGGGAACCAATAGAAAGGTCTGTGGGGCTGGCCCCAATCCCAACTATGTGGCTACCCCCCACCCTCAGAAGAATGCACTTCAGAGGACAGCACTGGGGCTGCAGTTTGGGGAGAGGGGTGCGTTGGATTAGAGCATCTGGGAGAAATGCAAAGGGATGGAGAGGGATGAGAGGACATCCTGGCCCACGACGCCCCAAGGATGATGTTCCTGCTCAGAGCAGACAACGCATGAGGTGGACCATAGGGCTGGCCCCACTATGAGATATGGCACTCTGCCCTGAACCATGATGCTGCGGGGGACAGTACTAGAGACACAGTGCAGGAATAATGCACGGTCTGGCCCCATCACACTGCGGTGAAGCACTGAGGGCATGCAGCAGAGCAGCAGGGGGAGCAGACTGGTGAAACCCCTGTGGAATACCAAAAATAGACTTGGGAGACGAGTGTGGCACCCCATCAAACTCGACTGGAAAACACTTGTAAAGGCTATAACAAACAGACCTTGAAACTTTTCCATTTTTTCAGTGGCTTTTTTTGGTTATTGTTATTTTGTGTTTGTTTTTGCTGTAATTGTTTTATTGGCTATGACTTCCTTTGTTGTTTTATTTGGCTTTGCCTGGTTTCTGCACTTATTAATGTCTCTGCATGTCTAGATAAGATAGGCGGGACAAATAATTTGGAGATGAAAAGAACGGGACTAATGGTTCCAGAGGGATACAGGAGAAGGGTAGGTGGGAGAATGGAAGGGGAGGGGAGAACAACCTAGGGACAAGGGAACAACAAGTGAACTAAAATCAATGTAAGGAAGGTCGTAGGATGCCTAGTAGGGCTCAATCAAGGGCAATGAAGCAGCGAGGAATTGCTAAACCCGAATGAAGGCCAAACATGATGTGAGACAAGAGGGAAGTAAAAAGGAAATAGAGAAAAGAGTCAGGAGGCAAAGGACATTTACAGAGGCCTACATATAGGTATGTACATATGTAAATATATATATATATATAAAATGAGAGGGGAATAGAACTATGTACTCATATCTATATGTTAAGAATTCAGTTTGCAGATAGACATTGGGCCTCAATTCAAGTACTCCCTTAACACAAGAATACTTTGTTCTAACAATCCTGCATTCTGTGATACTCATCTTCCCAACACGATCACTGAAGACAAAATAGGTGCATAAGCAAATGTGGTGAAGAAAGCTGATGGTGCCCAGGTATAAAAGATACAGCATCTGGGGTTTAAAGGCTTGAAGATAAACAAGTGGCCATCTAGCTCAGAAGCAACAAAGCCCACATGGAAGAAGCACACTAACCTGTGTGATCATGAGGTCTCAATGGGATCAGCTATCAGGCATCTAAGACCCAGAATAAAACCGTACCCAAGGTGAATGTTGGGGAGGCATGGAGTGGAGACCCAATTCCCATCTGTAGACAATTGGACATCCCCTCACAGAGGGTTTACAGGGAAGAGATGAGCCAGTCAGTCTGCAGTATAGCACCGTTGAAACATACAACTTTCCTCTAGTTCTTTGGTGCTTCCTTCACCCCACTATCATGACCTCAATTCTACCTTACAAATCGGATTAAGCCAGAACAAGCACACGGCTATAGATAAAAGCCCGCAACAAAGGGAATCCAGGATAGATAAACCCCTCAGCACCAAGGAGAGTAGACACCAGGAGGATTCGGGGAAGGTGGGGGAAGAAAGGGGGAACTGATCACAAGGATCAACTAGAACCCCCTCCCAGGGGCACAAATAACAGAAAATTAGGTGAGGAGCGAAGGAGGAGGATGTAAGATATGGAAAAAATAATCTATACCTTATCAAGGGTTCCTGAGGGAGGGTGGGTTGGGGAGGAAGGGGGAAGAAATGGGGAGCGGATATCATGGGCTCAAGTGGGAAGAGAATGCTTTGAAAATGATGATGGCGGCATATGTGCAAATATGCTAGACACACTGGAGGAATGTGTGGATTGTGGTAAGAGATGTAAGAGCCCCCATTAAAAGTATTTTAAAAATACTTAATAAGCAACCATATACATGAAGTATCAGCTAAATCCACATGGAACAAGGATTGAAAGTAATAAATTCCAAGACTGAAAGAGGGAACTGTATAAGAGATTAAATTCTGAGCATATGGTGTGACAGTGAAAGCTCCAAATCCATATGGAGTTTTCCATGTGGATTAACCCTTACATGAATCTCCTCTGACCATTAGCCAGGGATGTGACAGGGTGATATCAGAGTACATTGGGAAGTGAATTATTGTAGATGTAATTAGGTTAAAATTTAACACCTTATCGTCCCTTTGACTCATTTATAAATTTTCTAGTTTTTAATTATTTTCTGGGTTTTTTTTTAATTGAAGTTTATCTGTGTTTTATTTTGTGTTTAATATTAGGGTTTTCTTTTGTGTGTGTGGTATGCTTTTCTTTACATGAGATCCAGGACAGGTAAATCTATAAAAATAGTAGTTGGAGTAATAGAGTCTTGGGATTATGGTAGGAGAGGTTGGGGGGAGGAGGGGGCATGCAGCTAATTATAATGAGTTGAAGAATGAAGAAAATGTTCTGAAAAATGTGGTGATGAATGCACAGCTCTTTTTAATATATTTAAGCAATTGAATTGTTTGGCATATGAATTATAAATCAATGAAACTACTAAAAAAGTTATGACAACAGATTCTGAATGATTAAATCAATTTGTGAACCCAGAAGAAAAGTAGTAAGAAGAAATAGCATGCTGAAACAGGCGAAGATGTACACAGAGAAGCCAGCTTGTAGGAGAGGAATCTGTTTGAAGACTTTGAACACACAGTAGATTCTTTGAGAATAAAAATTAACATCCACTGAGCATTATGTCATGCAGCACTGTAAATGCTTTATATGCATAGTCTTGTTTAGCACAAGTGGGCTCTCGACTTGTGGCAACCAAATGCAAAGTGAAATTAAATACTTCCTGAATCTACACCAGTCCCCTAATTGATTGTGGATTGGACTTTTGTGATTCACAGCCTGTTCACAGGCTTATTTTCTAAAGTAAGCTGCCTGGCCTTTTTTTCTAGTTTCAGTTTGGAATTCTGCTGAAACCAATTAAGTGTTATGAGACATGAAAACCTCCATTTATGGTTGGTGGCTGCACTTGAGATACATTTGTGAGGAATCAAACCAGGTTACTCTGTGTAGAAGGTGAGAATTCTCCCACTAAACAACCCCCTCCTCAAGAATTATCATTAGTTTCAACATTTTTGTGGGTGAGGAACCTAAGGTTTGAGAAAAGGATGTGATTTTACCAAGATCACAGAGCTGTCATAGCTATTGAGCGAGAAAGCTGGAGCTGAAGCTGAGTTGAAGTAATTATGAATTGCTAACAATTGTTACTACTCTCAGGCAAATGTTTGCCTTAAGTCCTTCTAAGAGTTCCTGACAACATATTATAAAAATTAAAAGTGAGTTTACATTCATTTGGCTCAACAAT